GGAATCATGAACACCAAATGGAGATACACACTTCCAGCAGCAGTCAGTGTTACAACTCTCATCACAGCAAGAACATAGCCAAGGGTCTTCCATCTTCCAACACTATCCTGAGGGAGGAGGGTGTGGGGTGTTTAAATTATACAATGGATGTTTTTCTTGTGGCTGTCTTCTCCACATTGTGAGATGTACTGCTATGTGGGCGGAGGAGAAAATCAATTAGTCATGAGGACTGTCTCTCTCTGGTTAGCAGAACTTGCCACACACTGCAAAATTAGCTCCTACCTCTATGAGGATCTTCCAGCGACAGCACTTATTTCTCAAGAGAAATGTTTTTTGGAGTATGTAGGCATCTACTGACTGTTCATCTATTGCATCAAGGAAAACTATGGGAGAGTGAAAAGAGAAGAAAGCAAACTGTGGTTCACATTTTCCCAGTTCTGTCCTTTGACTCTGCCCTCCATTGACTCAAGATGAGCAAATAACAGAGATTGGTAATGACCTGGTTAAAGTGATTTTAGCAGAAGATCAGGATGTGGCATGAGATGTCACACAGTGTATGGCATAGAATAGGCATAATGAAAACTAGTCACATCCCCAGGGTGCTCACGTTAGAGGTGATATATATGCTGCAAATGCAGCAGATAATTTGTGTCCGTGTTTATATGGGTTAAAATGATGCACATTACACAGGCCTCCCCATCCTGCAGCTAAATGAAATATCACAGGGTTGTGAGTGAGACCTGCTTCCTGCAAACAGGACAGTGAAAGGCTAAGTAAATTCAGCATCTCATTACTGCAGCTTACAGCCATCTTTTTATTACTCATCCAGACTCCAGTGAGTCTCCTCCTTGTTTTTTTCCATTCTATTTTCAGCTTAGGAAGGAGGTTTTGGCACAGAAATCATTACGACTCAGTGTATCAGACACATTGTGTAGCAGAACTCCTCTGAAGTTGGTATAACTATTGCAGTAGGAAATCTGGCCTAATATGTGACCAGCTGTGCCAACGTGGATTATGGCCAAGCTGAATCCCAGACAGTAAGGAGGGCACTCATGGCCTCTGGGAACACTTCATACCCATCTTCAGCAATATCAGTGGGCCAACTGGGGAGTGTTAGTGACAGACCCTGGAGGCAGCGTTGCTCAGAAAATAAAGAGGAATACAGGGAGGTCACAGATTATCCCCTCTTTTCTGCCAAAAAACCCCAAAACATTTTAAAGAGTCTCCTAAGGACTCTACTCTCTAGTTTTGCTTTAGATCAGCAATCCATTTCAGGGACAGCCAAATGAACCAGACTCTTAGTCAAGGTGAGAAAGTGATACTGGTAGAAAACAAAATACCTACACAGCTGGGTATGCTACTGTGAGCGTACTACCAGTTTTAACTGGAGTGCAGCACAGCTGTGCTGTGCAGATGACATCGGCTCTTTGAAAGTGGCATTGTTACTGGTTAAGATTTCAGCTCAAGTCACTGTTTCCTGGACTGGTTGGTGATGTTTCAGACTTCTATAAAAAATACTGGTTTGGGATCCATGTGCGGGGGAGAGGGGGAGAAAGACAGAGAGTGACACTGAGCTTGGAAATACCCAAATACCAATCTGGAGCTACACAGTTTGAGAATCTGAATTTCTTTGGATTTTTCATCTAACTTTTCCCTCCTAGTTCTAGCTAGGAGCTTTCAGAATCACAGATGTTAGGTCTGGAAAAGACCTATTTATTAGGTCATCCAGTTCCTCTCCCTGCCAGTGTTCCCTTACAGGACATATTCTAGTCTTATGAATATGGAATGAGAATGACTTGTCTTGAGGTTTCTTTTGAGCATTAATAGCATTACCTAGAAATGCTAGAAATCAACTTTTAATAGCACTGAATCAAAAAAGTAAATTATTTTCACCATGAAACATAATTCAGCAAGAGTAGAAAAGTAATGCTATTGTAGTTTCTGTTTGAAACTAATTTGGTATGATATTACAAAAGCATATCTATGCACATAAACACACGTATTTAAACAATGAGGAATCTTCCTCTAGACTTTCCATATGAAATAAAAGACATAATCAAGAATAAGCTAACTAACCACAAGGTGACACTGTTTCACACTAATCTACTAAAACAGCATTTATCTGGATGTAAAAAACAGGCAATGCCTTTCTTACCAAACCCGATTTTAAAAGATGCATTCAAAATTATTTGAAATATGTTTATTATATATTACATGTTTTACATATGTGTTATTGCAGGTAGGAGCATTGAAGATAGGGCAGGATGTCACCTTAGAACAGTGGTTCTCAAACTTTTGAACCTCAAGGTGCTCCTACATAACTCCATTTATGTGGCCAAAGAAGGATAAGAACCACTGATCTAGCTGGTGCCAGGTGAAGGCAGCAGGGGCAGAACCTAACCCTGCCGTGTCCTGCTCTTTCCATTATCTGTCCCCCTCACCACCCCCATCCCGTCTGCACCTGATGGAGCAGACCCCATCACTGAAGCTGCTCCTGCAGGGTCTCACACACTGACAACCACCCCCATGGCTCCCCTCACCGGTCCCAGCAGGGTGGCAGAAGTGGTGGGAGGTGGGTTTCAAAATGTGGCTCTGGCCCCATGTCTGCCCCTCCATCCACTCACAGCAGAGTACACTGCTGGGAGCATGGGGCTAGCTGACACAGGCTGCCAGGGGTAAGGGGGGGCATCAGCAGTCCTAGAGGAGCAGTTGCAAACTCCACTGAGCAACTGGGACAAATGCAGGGCACTGCATAGGGGGAAGAAAGCATTTACTTCCTCACACAGGGGCCAGGCAGCATGGCACCTCTAACGGGATCTGTGCTGTGGCACCCCTGTTGAAAATCGCTGCCTTGGGGCACCTATACACATGCCCGGCGCCTGCTCCAATGCATTCGAATTAGAACGTATCAGAGCAGACTTGATTAATTGAGTCTGCTGGATCCTTCTAATTAGATTGCTCCAGCACCCTCAGCGTCATGTGTATTCAGCATCCCCGCATTTCAAAATGGTGGCGAGGGTGCTTTAACTAAAGCTTGTTGAATGAGCTTAATTAAAGTGCCCCCACTGCCATTTTGAAGTGCAGGACACTGAATATGTGAGACACTGTGGATGTTTTAATTAAAGCGCCTCCTGAGTGCTGCTCTAATTAAAACGCCCTGCCCCCCCCTCCCCAAGGAGCATGTGTAAAGACACCCCTAGAGACTAACTGGTTCAGAGTTTTCACAGCATCTGACAATGTAAGGTGCTGCCTATGAAAGCTCATGCTTCTCTGAACCAGTTAGTCTCTGAGGTGCCACCCTGTCCTACCTTCTGCCTGACTTCACACTAACACTGTTAACCACCTCTGTGCACGTAGGATGATGTAGTTAAGTAATCACTTTCTG